AAAGTGGACATGCCCCCATCATGTCCAGACGTCCGCGTCGAGGGCTACGAGGTCGCACGTGGTGGTGTTGATCAGGATGGCAGGCTCCATGGGGTCGAAGAAAGAGGCCAGGCAGTTTCGCAGGTCGCAGCGCTGCCATCGATCGGGCATCCTGAGCACCTTCTTGTTCTTGGCGGCGTCCCAGGAGATCGATGCGGAGAATACCGGATACCCGCATGCTTTGTAGCGCAGGGCGAGAGCCTTCTGCGACATGGGCGGAGCGACACTGTGAGACGAGGGGCCTTGTCTCGTCGAGGGCGATCCGCGTCGGGAGCAAACTAGATTCTCGCAGATCACGACGCAGTCATATTTCCTCTACTTCTGAAGCGGACCTCACCTGTTCCTTTTCAGAGATCTGGATGGCGGTGGCCACTCAGTCGTCGAAGCGGATTCGACACGTGGCGGTCATCGACTCACCTGGCCCCCATCGAACGACCGACGCCGCTTGAGACCCCTCCCTTCCTGCTGCACTTCCATCGCCACCGGAGCCTGGTGCGACGAACCAGGTGCGTCGGGTTCCTTATGTATCAATCGAAGGGCAAAAGACACGTGTCAAACTCTATTCATATATTCTCGAAACGATTGAAAAAAATGAGTAGAGTCGATCGGGGACAGCTGGGACGGCTGGGACAGCCTGGTACCCCTTTTTGACTAGATAAATGAGTCGGGGACAGGGTGGTCAGCGTGGACAGCACTTTCAAGAGTTTTCTGGAAAAATGAAAAGCTTGCTCATACCACCTCGTTTGCGACACCACCCATACCACCCTACTTTTCTCTCAAAATCTACCGAAGGGTGAGAAACGCTGTCCTAGCCGACTGCGCTGTCCCCGAGTCATTTCAGAGGTCAGAAAGGGTCCCCCGGCTGTCCCAGCCGTCCCAGCTGTCTCGACCAATTATTTGCTGACACGTGGCACCGTTCGCAAGATGCTCGTACCTTTGCTGCAGTTGGCATGCGATTCGTTCGATTTTTTTACTGGTGAACCAAGTCTCCCATGGTTTGCTCAGCGGGTTTCGAATCCTTGTGGCCAACCTACGCCAGAATAGGACCACCTTTCTTAAACAGTGAGAGACAGGGGGCTATTGTGTGGGAGTGTGCAGAGCGTCCGAACTCGTGGCATACCTCGTTCGACGCCATTAAGTGCGGTGTGGCGGCCTCGGTAATGGGGGCGGCCTCCGATTGCTGCTCTCGTGCACCCTGCGCAGCGGCATGGGCTGTGTCGGATCGCTTACTCGTTGCTTAACACTTTTATTTGATTAAGAGAAGCAGTAGAGACTTTGAATAGAGACAGCCGGGACGGCTGGGACAGCCTGGTACCCTTTTTTGACTAGATAAATGAGTCGGGGACAGGGTGGTCAGCGTGGACAGCACTTTCAGGAGTTTTTCAAAAAATGAAAAGCTTGCTCATACCACCTCGTCTGCGACACCACCCATACCACCCTACTTTCTTCTCGAAATCTGCCGAAGGGTGCAAAACGCTGTCCCAGATGACCGCGCTGTCCCCGAGTGCTTTTAGGGGTCCAAAAGGGGTGCATGGCAGTCCCAGCCGTCTCGGCTGTCCCACCAATCAGTTGGTGACACGTGGCACCCATTCTTACCTCTGACCTCTCAGCATGCGGCGTGGGGTGATCGCCTCTCTGCTCGCCGTGATCTGCACAACTCTCCTCGCCTCGCATTGTCACAGCAGTGCTCTCGTCTATCTTCATCGCATCCTGCACAGAGTCACGTGAGAAGGAGGACAAGGAGCTGAACATCGTGCTTCGTTTCTACTAGAAAGAATTGATCAACATATTAAGTACAGAAAGTTGATCAGGACGGCTGGGACGACTGGGAGTTTCACACGTGGCACCCCCGATGCATCAACACGGCACTCCTGTCTCGACTCGCAGTCACGAGGACGTACGGTCAGATAACGTTTCAACTCACCTCTGATACCGCAGCCTGCGACGACAGGCGATCGACCCCCTGCTCCCCCTGATCTGCACATCTCTCCTCGCGTGGTGCAACTACAGCAGTGCTCTCGTCTAGATTGGTTTCGTCCTGCACAAAAGATATGAACAAAACGTCTGTATGCAGGGAGCAGCTCCCTCGATCTTCTCTAAGAGACAGACGTAAGTACGGAAAGCAGTAGACAGACATTTGGGAAGGCTTGTGACAGTTTGGGGCGTCCTTGTGACCTCTGAAAAGACTAGAGGACAGCACGATTTGAGATGTTGGGAGCTATTCCAAAACTTGCACATCCCTCCTTGTTTATATCCCCCATCCCGCCCCGAATGAACCAAGCCGCTTCTCACGAATCTCGACCGCACCCAAAACGCTGTCCCAGCTGACCGCCCTGTCCCTGAGTGGTTTGAGAGGTCGGAAAGTGTCCCCCCGCTGTCTCAGCTGTCTCGGCTGGCCAAGCCAATCAGATGCCGACACGTGGCAGGGCATGCCCATGCGACGCTTTGACTGGCATTTTGATTCGAAGAAAAAATAACTTCCCTAAACTTATACCCGATGGATGAAACTTGAGCAACATTGTTCATGTTTCTGTGTACCGTGCTATCTCCCGCCTCTAGCCTAGTACCAAATCCCTCATGCTTCTGAGACTCGGAGCCATCTCTCCGACTCGTCCCCTGGCAACGCCAGGTTCATTCGAGGCTATCTACATCCTCCAGTGTTAGCAACTACTTGGGTCTTCTCCGCTTGGTTCTCGCAGGTCCGTCCTTCGGTGTTGCATACCACTCGCCTCCGGCTTGGTTGTCACCGGTGTCCCTCTCGGGACGAACATGCTTTGGCGAATCGAGGCTATAAACGTTTCATTCTTAGGAATCGACTTTTGTGGGCCTACTCTCCTGAAATATGCCGTACGATGCTCATCCTACGGTCTTGAAT